GATGAGCCTGGCATTGGAGCTCTGCAGAAGGCACAGCTGCTTCACCCACAGAATCAGAGCAGAATTGCTCAGGAAGGGAGGCTGCCCTATGTGGGAGGGAACACTTCTGCTTGCCTGTGGGAGTGTGGAATCTCAGATCCCTGGGCCATCTTAAATTGCTTCCAGAGGCTGACCTCAGGGCTGGGTTGTTGGCTGATCCACACCACTTGATCAGGTGACCTTCGCCTTAGAATTCCACACCCTTTGCTCTGGAGGGAAGGGAAGAGGAAGGATGGAAGGGAAGACGGGGCCTGAACACCTCTGCTTTAGGAATGGGAAAACAGGCCTGGCTGGTGAACCACTAGGACCCAAGAGCTAGTAATGGCTGAGCTAGGGCCCGAGGCCTCGTTTGAACCTCAGTTTTCTCATCTGTAAAATGGGGAGGCTGAAAGTGTAGAGAATGACAGCTCTCATCAGAGGCTGAAGGTACCTCGGGCAGAAGGCCAACCCCTGGGTGCTGGTTGGAAAGTCAAAAAGCTGCTGAGTTGTTTATTGTCTTGAGATGAGGGCAGTTTCTAAGAATCGGGGCCATGAGTTTTCTCCCAGGAGAGTTTTGAAAGCAAATCTTGCAGGGACCCCTCTCCTTAGAGACAGGAGGTCACAGCTGAGGTATCTAGCCAGATGCGAACAACTTCCCTCTCTGTTCTTGTCACACTATCCTCCCACCACCTCCACCCTCTCACCGACCTGGACTTGACCTTGCCCTAGACGGTCCTTCTGACAGGATTCGGGGCCACTTGCCTCTCCTCACCTCAGCTGCTTCCTTCTCCTCTTTCTTACCCTGGTGGGTTCGTGTTTCACTTCTCCCCGGGGACAGCGGGTGGAGGCAGAGCTGGCCATACGTCACCTTATTTCTGGCAGCTGTGGTGGGCCTCGGGGACAGGGGCGTCTACTTAGGGTTCCACCGTCAGGCCCGCCTCCCCACCTGGCCGGCTCTGGTTTCCTCTTTTGCACCCTGGGGGGGAGTCGTGTCTGCTTCACGGGGTTGGGGGGTGGAAACTAGTGATCATGGTTTACACATGTTGGAACATCTACTCTGTGCCAGGGTCAGTCTGGGATGGATCTCCTTGAAATCTCACGATGACGCAATTTTACACACAGGAAAACAAGCTCAGAGAGACCAAGTGACTTGCCCGGGATCACACAGGAAGCGAGGGGTGGAAGCAGGATTTGAACCCAGGTATTGGGCCTCCAGAACATGAGGCCTCAACCACATAACCACACCGTCTTCCTAAAAAGTAGCATCTGTACAACGCACCTGGAACTACCTACCACAGAAGCTGCAGACTTTCCGAACATGAAAGCATCTCGTCCATCGCACCTCCCCCCATCTGAGAGACACCTACAGAGTGGATGCCCCCAGCACCCCACTCCCGTGCCGCTATTTTATTTCACAGCAGGAGGGGGACGATGCCCCTAGTCTGTACTTTTATTGGCTGTATCCCATTATACTGATGATGGAAGTGGCACCTCAGGGAGGCTAAGGGACTTGGGCAGAGTCACACGGCTAGTCAGGGGCAGCAGGAAGATTTCAATGCATGCTAAGTCATTCAGTTGTTGAGCACCTCCTGTATACCAACCTTCATGTCAAGTGCTGGGTATGCAGTGGGGTCCACAACAGGACTCCTGCCCTCTCAGGGCTTACGACCGAAGGGAGGTGAGTTATAAACTGTTTGGTGACAGTCCTTTACAGCTAGGCTGATCGTGCCCTGCAAGCCTGTCTCCCTTGCACTGCTGACCTTGAAATCGCAAACACTCAGAAGATGGCCAGATCGAATGGAAGCAGCAGAGCCACAGGGCTCTGGAGCTGGACCCCGTGGCCGTGGGTCATCTGGAGGGAATTTGCATGGCCTGCCAGGCCCCTGCGGCCTTGTGGCTCCTGATAACACCCAGCAGCTGCTGCCAGGCGTGTGGGCAAGAGGCTCCCCCCCGCCCCGGGGCTGGCAAGGGCCTGGCTGGGCCCCTGACTCACCGCCACCAGACGAGCTCGGTCTGAACACTTCCCCTCCTGTGGCTGGAACACCCACTTGGAAACCAAGGTGAAAAGTAGGGGGGGCCCAGGCTGGGATTTGAGCCTGGCATCTGCATCTCTGTGGTCTCTCTTTCTCAGGGTCTCCTGTCCTTCTCCCTTCCCCAATAAGGGCACGTTCTTTCGAGCACAGCCAACCAGGCGGCTGCCTAAGCCTGAAGCTGCTGAGGTCTCCCCGTGAATTTTTAAAAATCTGCCACCTCTTGCCTTCTTGGTCTCTCCCTCAGCAGCTCCTCCTCGGGCCTCTGGGGGCCCCTGTTCCCGTTTCCCTTCTCCTGTCTCTCCCCCTCTGCTGTGCCTGCCCTGTAATTCTTCACTCACTTTGCTGGGGAGCAGAATCCCTTTCTCCCACCCTCTTACTTTTCTCCTCTTTTTTTTAAGAAACAGTTGCCTTTTTCCTGGACTTCAAAAGGATATTCCCAGACTATCTCTCCCTTCAAAAAAACATTCGTTTCGTGTGCTGTGATCATATATACTGGAGGAATCGTATACTCATGGGGAAAGGAGTATCAAGAATTATAAAAGTCAAGTACAGAGGCCGTGGGCAAGGCTCCAAGGATAGGTCAGGTCTCATCAAGCACCCGAGGACACATACAAGGGAGAAGCCCTGTGTTTGCAGGGAGTGTGGGCGAGACTTCAGTTATAAGTCATGTCTCATCAGACACCCGAGTGACAGATGTGCCCTAGTTAGCCTCCTCTTGCCAAATGCAAAGACGCACCATTAACCCTACGTACTGTCCATCTTCTGTAAAGGAAGGCTGAGCCCAGAGCAGCTTCTCTTTTGCAGGCATGTCCACTGATTTAGCCAACACATAGGCTTCTAGACTCAGACCGCCTGGGTTCCCCCTTCCCACCTGTACGGTTGAGACAGGTTACTAACATATCCTGCCTCAGTGTCCCCACCTCATAGGGCTCTCGGGAGGACTGGATGAGTGAACGTGTTAAACAACGGCTCCAGATATGCTAGTTGTTGTTCTTGGCACTCACTGAGCGTTCATTTGGCAGGAAATGTGTGCTGTGAAACGCAAAGGTGCCCAGGATCCGTGCCCTAGAGTTAGGGGGAGTGCACGGCTCGTTTCCCCTGGGCTGTCTGGCTCATCTGTGGTTATAAACAACACCCCTCCTTCACTCCCCAGGGTTTCCTGATTTAGGTCATAGGCTTGTATCACCTCCTTATTTCCGGAGCAGAGGCTGAGAGTGGATCGAGGTGGGTGGCTCGAGCCTGCAGGACACTCCGAGCAGGTGCCTGCCTGAAGGCGACACTCCTGCAGGTGCAGGCGATGCCCGTGGCCGTGTTAGCAGAGTTTCTGATTGTCCAATGGCAATCCCGGTTTTTATGTGAAATCATCGTATTTTTTAAAGGGGCTTTTTTCATAGGCTTAATTTTTTAGAGAATCATCCTATTTCCAAAGTTCAGCATCCTATGAAAATGTTTCCAAACTCCCCTCTAGTCCAGCTAAGCCACACCTGTGTTTTGGGCCAGCAGGTGATCCATTTCCAACCTTTCGACTAGAGGAAATGCCATTCTATTGAGGGGAGCAGGCCAAGTAAACAGGAGTTACCACACAGGCGACAGGGTGGTGACAGAGGTGAGTCGAGTGACTCAGAAGCCCGAAGAGGGGCAGCTACCTCAGCTGGCAGGTGGGAAATCAGGGAAGGCTCCCTGAAGAGGGTGACAGCTCAGCTGATTCCAGAGACACGAGTGAGAACACGTTCCAGACACGATAAAAACAACGGCAGGGACCTTTTTCCTCGTGGCTTTCTAGGTTTGGGGCACCGTTGTTAACAACTCGACAAGCACCAGCTCATTTAATGGGCACAGTGACCGTATACATCAGGCACCACTGTTATCCTCATTGGCCAGAAGAGGAGACGGAGGCACAGAGAGGGTAAGCAACTTGTCCAAGGGCACACAGCCAGCCTGTGCCGTGGGATCCACCGGTCATGCTTTTAAGCCCGACTCTAGAACACTCCGCGGAAGGGCAGAACAGCGGGTCACAAGACCGGAACGCAAGAGAGAGACCAAGGCACACTAACAAAACTGAAGGCAGGTCACCAAGGCTGAAGCTTGGAGGCAGGAAGGTGACAGGAGTAAAGCCGGGCTGGGCTAAGGAGTCTGGGCTTTTTCTTGTAGACTAGAGGGAGACACTGAACGATATGGAGACCAACACAACTCCTACTCCTCTTTCCCCTCCCCCCATTTTAGAGACGACACAACTGAGGCCCAGAGCACTTCCCTCACTTCCCCAAGGTCACACAGCCCAGCCCTGAGGCCAAGCCCAGACTCCGGACTTCCACCAGGACAGAGCCCACCCCAGGGAGTGATGAATGGGAAAGGGGGAAGGGCCAGAAGTGGCTATCAAGACTTTACCCCAAAGATTAAAGAGATATCTGAACAAGAGAAAGTAATCTGTCCCAGTCCTGTTACCTCGCATGCCCGGGGTGGACCTGAGCTTCTCCTCCGGCCTCGCCCCGCCCCCCACCCACAGGCCTCATGCGAAGGGAGATGGCTGGGAGATGACTCTTCCTTAGAAATCCTGGGTCTGGGCTTCCGTGGGCCCAGCAACTAAGAAAAGACAGCCAATCCGACGGCCTGAGTCAGGCCTTTGACACCACCACCGAGTGGTAAATAAAGTCACTGGAAACCAAAGCAGCCTGGTCTGTGAAAGGCCTTTCAGGGCGGGGCCGGGCCGCCCTGCTGAGTCAATTCCTACACCCGCCATCAATGGACTGGTGAACGTACGGGGTTGCCCCGCAAACCCGCCAAGATGTTTAGAACGTGTCCTAGCTTGATTTCAGGGCAGAGTGGTCTCACGGCCTCTGAGGCCCGGGGCCGGTGGGCCTGTGCGAATTTACACGGGTGAATTCAAACCACTTGTTCGGCTCAGGCAGCTAGAGACGCTGAACGCATGTTACGGAATGCCATACCTACCTCATGCCAGGCGCTGTTCCAGGAGCTGCGAGCAGGCGATGTCCCTGATCTCATGACACTCATACTCTAGGAGGGGGACAAAAGCAATGGATACGTCATAAAATAAATAATCTCAGAGACAGTGGGGATGATTCTAGACCAGAATTTCTCAATCTTGGCACTATGGACATTTGGGGCTGCATAAATCTTGGTTGTAAGGGGATGTGCTGCAGGGTGTGGAGCAGCGTCCCTGGCCTCTGGCCAGAGACACCAACGGCAACCCCTCCCCCTGAGGTATGACAACTAAAAATGTCTCCAGACATTGGCAAACATCCCCTGGAGGGCAACATCGCCCCTGCCTGGTGGAGAGCTCTAGACCAGAGCTCTTCACTGAAAGCAGAACACAGTCCACGTGCATAATGTAAAATTTTACCCAGAATAGCTAAAACAGTATCATTTCAACATGTAAGGAATAGAAAAAGGTATTAAAGAGATGTCTTACATCATTTTATTCTAAGTCTTCAAAACCTGGTGGATAGTTTAAACTCACAGCACAGCTCAATCCGGAGAGCCCAGCGCTAGACCTCCCACCCCTGCTGCCGGAGCGCTGTTGAAATGCACTGGGCTCCGAGCTCATCACAAAGACAGCCTAGCAAATGGGGCCTCGTTCTTCACGTGGCCCTAGACAAGCAGCAGCAGCAACACCTGGGAACAGGTCAGAACTGAGGATCTCAGAGGCTGGGTCTGAATCTGCATCTTAACGAGCCGCCCCAGGTGACGCGTGAGCGCACTGAAGTGTGAGAAGTCCAGGGCGAGGAAATCACGGCGCCCAGGTGCCAGGCCCCTTGGAGGTGGGTAATGCCCAGGAAATGAAACCGCTCAGTTAGCAGGCAATGCGTCTTCCTTCTGGGAGTCCCCGTTTCCCCATCTACAACACAGGGTTCATTAGTGCTCTTCCTCTGGGGCTGGGCTGGTACTTAAGGAGCCTGAGCTTCACCACACCCTCCCCCTTTCCTCTGCCCACCGCGCCCCTCTACTCACGAGTGCCTTCCTTCCAGGTGAAATAGGAGGCAGTTTTGGCTGCCGGGATGCTGCCCCCAGAGGGAGACCCTGAACCCAACTGCAGGGCCCGCCTCGGTGGGCGCAGCCGCGGGGAGTGGCCGGAGGGCCTTGGGCAGGCTGTGAGGCCCTCACGCCAAGCAGCGCACGTGGCTATGCGCAAGGCGACTTACACGCTGTCGCACACACGCAGCGAGCTGTCAGGAGGGAGTGTGAGTGCTGGGGATGGCGGCTGCGCTTGTCAGCTCTGTCACCTCTGTGGACGTCCTGTTCCCAAGGCCAGAACATTACATGCCATGCTCATTGAGGAGCTAGAGGTTCACTGTTTTCCAAGTCCCCCCACACCCCCAGTCCCTGTCCTTCCTCAGGAAGGTGACATTCCAGCTCTCAGCTCTGCATCTGCCCCGGGGACCTGGCTCCCACCCCTGCCCAGGATCTGGGTAAAGCCCAGCTCCCTGCTCTGAATGTCAATCCCTCCTGATTTCTAGTCGGGACACGTCCAAATTAAAGGAGCTTATCTCAAAGCCCTAAGGCTGATCTAGCGTGGTGCTTACTTCCTGTCCCTGTCATCAGGCCTCTGGGCGGGCTCCCCGGGCAGGCAGGCAGGCAGGCGGCAGGGGGTGACGACGAGGTCAGGCCAGGGCCCCGGTGAGAGAGGATGCCCTGCACCTGTGCCACCTTGGTCAGAGGGGGGAGATTCAGATCAAACAAATGAGTAAGGCTTTCAAGCAGAGATCAGTGAGCACAGAAGCTTGAGCGGGGCGGGGGAAGGAATCCCATTTGCCTAGATTTTTGCCTCCCAAGTAAATTAGAACCTGATCTTGGGCAGGCCCGGGTGCTGCACTGGGGTTCACAGCTGTGGGTTCCTCTAGGGGCGACATAGGTAAGAGAGTGACTGCTGCAACAATGAAGAAAGGCCCAGTGTTTACCCTGCCCCTGTTGTGATTCAGAAATATCACCCTGGACCATGTGAGGACTTTAAAAAGAGGCAAAAAGGAAGGAAGAGAGAGAGAGAGAAAGAAAGAAAGAGAGAGAGAGAGAGAGAGAGAGGGAGGGAGGAAGGGAAAATCCATGACCGTAAGAAGTGACCAGAAAAAGAAAAAGAGAAAGGAAGTAAGGAAAAAACAGACGTGGAGAACAGGTGCAGAGAACGAGATTCGCTGCATACTTAATGTGACGGGCATTTTACTCTTCCTATTACTTTCCCTCTTCTTCTTACTCCTCCATCTCAGGCCAGGAGAGTGAGGCCCAAAGAGGCCACTTGGAGTCAGAGTGCCCCGGGCTGCAGTGCCCACTACTAGCTTAGTGACCACCAGTAGGAAATGGCCTCTGGTCCTCAACTTCCTCATTTCTAAGACGGGGCAATATTAACTGCTCTGCAGAGCTGTTGAGTCGATGAGCTAATAGACCTAATGCCTACCACATGTCTCACCTTCAAAACATGGTAGTTATTAGCATGATTACTGCTAAGTGAGTTGCTGGAGACCACACAGTGAGTGAAGAGCCAGTTTCGACTCTGGTCCACTGAGTCCAGAGCACACACATTTCACCACACAGAACTGACTCACAGACAAACCCAGGAAAGTAACACCTGAACTGTAAACCCTCTCTCCCATAGGCAGACATTTGCACACAGGGAGTGGACACCCACAGTTTTTGCCTGCCCGGCAACCATTCCATTTCATTCTAGAAATGGCTTCCACCTCTTTCGCAGACTGTGAGGTTCTCAGTCTGTGAGATATTCACGATGGGAGAGATTTCTTTCTAATGATGTTGTTATGCCGGGCGAATGTAAGCCCAGAGCTACTGGGAAGATTCTTGGGCACTCGTGGGCCCATGAAGGCGAAGTTGAGAGATACAGAATAACATTATCATTTGGGCACCTGGATACAGCTGTGCCTGAAGCCACCCCCTGAATTTCTCCCCCTCTAGCTGACTTGAACCCAGTTCAACCAAGAGTCCCTGACTGACTAATGCAAGGCTTGTCTGATGCTAAGGCCCATGTACCTTCAACCATACCAGATTGACTCAACAGTGTACAGATGAAAGAGGAAAAAGACAACTCAGATAAATCAAAAACTTTCTCTTTCATCTTATGTACATACATGGCACCTCTGCTAATGGTTGCTAGATGAGTGTACAAACGTGTCCAAGAAAGTCCCTTCATATTACCACTTATTAATAACTTAGTTACCTGCATAAACATCATGATTCTTTGTGTCAATACCATAGTCGTCTGCATGAAACCTGTGTCAATTCCAGGAAAATATATCAAGCCCCCTTTCCGGGCCCCCTGTGAGAAAATAGGTTGGTGGAAGCTAAGAATATATATATTTTCTGCTCGCAGTTTGGGATTGTCCTTGCAGTTGAACGCCTCCAAAGTACCATCATTCAGCAAATATTTACTGTCCTCTTCCGTGTGCCACTCTCCTAAGTTGTCTTAATCAGGATAATCAAGATAAGTAGAACCATTCCACCATTTCTTAGATAGTTAGCATTCCACCAAACAGAAAACAAGCTCTCTCTGCTCCCTTCCCAAGGATATACGTCTTCCCTCTTTTACTTATAGACCATGACTTGGCAGTCGGGGTCTTGACCTTGGAGCTGGCTTTAATTACCGGAGGCTTTATGTGCCCATCCACTGGGGTGCTGAAGCACTGAGTCATAAAGAGGAATGTCTCCCACTGCACAGCACACTGGAGCAGCTCGACTTCCAGCCAAGCTGGCTGCTGACCTGGCCACCCGTGAGGGGAGAAGATCAGAGATGTGGGAGGTGAGGGGCCCTCTTGACGCAGACCGTCACCCCATGATGACCTCACCTGCCAAGCCAGTGACTCACCCCTGCTTCTGTCCCGACCCGGCCAGACCTTGCTCATTTGGAATACCTGAGGGGAATACCAGTCTCCTGTATTTAGCGAAAACACACAATAGTGAGCTATTTTTAAAGGTGTGACGTTTTCTTACTTTCAAGCGGAGGTAGCAACCCCTGCAAAGCTAAATGGGCCTGGGTTTAAGCCACTCCTGCTTTAATAAACATGTGAGAATTCTCTTTTGAAAAGAAAAAAATCACATAAGAATGGGGAGTGCTAAGGAGGTTTCCTTTTTTTAAACAATTTTTTTCCTTGTGATAAAAAATACATAACGTGAAATTTATCATTTGAATCATTTTTAAGCATACAATTCAGGGGCATTAAGTACATTCACAATGTTGTGCAGCTATCATCATCCTCCATTTCTAGAACTTGTTCGCCGTCCCAAATAAAAGCTCTATACCCATGAAGCAGTAACTCCCCATTCCCTCCTCCCCTCAGCCCCTGATAACCTCTGTATCTTTGTATCTCTACTAATTTGTCTACTGTACCTCATATAAGTGGAATCATGCAAAATTTGTCCTTTGTGACTGGATTATTTCACTTAGCATAATGTCCTCAGGGTTCACCCATGTTGTCACCTGCGTCAGACGTTCATTCCTCTCTAAGGCTGAATAATAGTCCATTGTATGTATACACTACGTTTTATTTATCCATCTGTTAATGGACATTTGGATTGCTTCCACTTTTTGTCTCTCGGGAGTGGTTTACTTTCGTGTCCTAAATTTAAAGACTACTTGTTTTCTTTAGTAGTTAAAAAGTCTTCTCAGCAAAGCCCCTCAGAGTTCACCTGTAAATTGGAGCTAAGGTAACCGGTTCTGACTACTTCTCAGAAGTGTCGTGAAGATGCAGTTTGATCCCGGGTACGAAAGTGCTTCCTAAATTCTAACATTTCCTACAAAAAGCAGCAGCCACATAGCACAGGGAGATCAGCTCGGTGCTTTGTGACCACCTAGAGGGGTGGGGTAGGGAGGGTGGGAGGGAGGGAGACGCAAGAGGGAGGGGATCTGGGGATATATGTATACGTACAGCTGATTCACTTTGTTATACAGCAGCAACTAACACAACGTTGTAAAGCAATTATCCTCCAATAAAGATGTTAAACAAAAATGTCCTCACCTTGTTTATGTTATTTGCTTAGCAATGTTCACCCCGCCCACGGGGATAAAAGGAACCCTACTCTGGCCTGCTTTCAAATTTTAATATATCTTAGATGGAAATGGTCCGAATGAATGAGGTTCTCCTGAGGTGTTTGTATATCCTGTCCTCTCTCCATTCTCTCCTAAGCAGAGTACGATTATACTGAATGCCTACTACGGATCAGCACACGATTCTGTTAATTACTATGTGTTAATCTACCAGCTGTGGGATATGGACAAGTTACTTCACCTCTTTGTGTCTCAGTTTCCTTGACTGCAAAGTGGGGACCAAAGTAATAGAACTGACTTCGGAGAGTTGTTGTATCAAATGTGGTAACGATTGTAGAGGGGGCCTGGCATATGGCGGGTATTCAGTTTACATTATTATTATATAATTCTTATTCCTTCTTTAGGATTATTTTTGTCGTGACCTTCTCAATTATTATTTACACATAAAGATTAAATGCATGGCCTCGGTGCAGTAAAAATGCATCGGTTCCAGAGACTAAAGGTCATAGCCACCATTTTAACTGATGTTTTGAGAGGCTGCTCGGTGATGGTTAAGATCTCTGGTTTAGGGATCAGATCTGATTTCACTTCCAAGCTGGTTTCAGATTGACTGGATAATCTGAGTTCGTTTTTCTAGAATGGGACAAGACCTACCTACCCCCTAAGGGTGTAGGGAAGATTGAGTTCACCTGTGTGCACGGTTGAACGTGTTAAAGGCACGCTGGCTAGCATTATTATTACAATCACCCCCCCCACT